GGCCGTGTTGCGGGATGACCTTGGCGTGTTGTCCCCGCGGGGTTTTTCGCTCTCTGGGGGCTGCCCGCGGTTGGGAAGCACTCGGGGGAGGCGGGACATGAGGAATGTGGGCACTTTTTTTCTCCCGAGTTTTCGTCCCCGGAGCGTTTGCAGCGTAAAAACGTACGTGTGTGTGTGTGTGTGTGTGTGTGTGTGTGTGTGTGTGTGAGCAGCAGCTCCGTGGAATATTCAGCTGTCTGGATTCTCACAGCCACGTGCTCTCGGGGGCATTCCTGGGGGTTTGGGAGGGGGGGAAGGCACAAAAGTCTCGAGTTTTGTGGGTTTTTCACGGGTTTTTGTGACTAAGAAATGAAATGGGGACGAGGTTTAGGGGTCCCCCCACCCCACAAGGTTCCTCCTCAGCAGCAACCAGGGGGTTGCAGCCACAGGGACGTGTTTTCTCCCATCACATATTTTTCCACCCGGTCCTGGCAGTGCTTTGGTTGCAATGGGAGCATCTTCCTGGCTCTCTCCTCTGTGGGAATGTGTTATGGGTTAAATCACCCTCCTCTTCCCAGCCCCAGCTGCCTGACCCCGCTACCAAGTGGGGCATGAGGCAGAGGCAGCTGGGGATGGCTTGTCACGGGCAGAGCCCTGCGGGGAGGCTGATCCCAGCAAGCAGGTGCTGGGGGGCTTCCTTGAGGCCACCTGTGTCCCCTGGGGCCTTCTGGAGCTGCAGGCTTGGCCTTCAGCTGGGAAAGCTGCCTCCCACCCCCCATAATAAAACTTTCATGACCCTTTAGGGTCCCTGGCCGTGTCCAGCTGCCACTCTCTGCTGCTGGGGGTGCAGAGCCAGCCCTTCCCAGTCCCTTGGCCCGAGAGCCAGAGCTCCAGCTGGCAGGGGACGGAGGGGATTGGGTGCTGGGAAGGGCTGTGCTGGATTCCCAGGGACACCCAGGGTCGTGGCATGTTGCTGCTGCTGGTGGGCCTGGGGGGCAGGACCTGCTGTCCCCCCTCCCTGGCATGCCCACCTGCCTGGGGACAGCTGGTGGCAGGTGCTGGCTGAGCTTTGGGGGTCTCCAGGCCTGAGATTTGGGGAGGGGGGTCCATGCACTGCTGTGTTTGTCAGTCACAGATCCTCGTGTGCGTTGGTGGCGGTGCTGTCGTTGCAGAGAAGGGTCCAGGGCATCCCACTGTACCCAGACATTCCACCCCATGCCCCCGCCTCGTGTCCGTGGATCCTTCCCCAGCCTCTGCTCCATCCTCCTGCCCCAGCACATCCCTGGCAGTTTTACCCTCTCTTCCAGCCTGAGCCAGCCCCACTCAGCTCCCGGCTGTCCCTTCCCTTGGGGCTGTGCTCACATGGAGCCATCGATCCGGCTGCTCCGTGGCGTGGCCGGTGTCACGCTCCTGCCAGCCCCCAGTGCCCGGCCACACTCCCAAATCCCCAGGCCAGGACAGACCTGGTCCTCCCCCCCTGCATTTCCATCCCCTGAATCCCATCCCAGCTCCCAGCCCCCAGCCCTGCCGTGTTCTGGGTGTCAGAGGGCTTGGGAGGTCCAGGGGCACATCCAAGGGGAAAAATCCTGCGGGGGAATCGCTGTGGAAAGAGCTGAGGCAGCCCCGAGGGCTGGGGGCTCCCACTGTGCTAATGCAGGGGGTGGGCTGGCTCCTGGTGGGGTGGAGGAGGGATGGGAAGATCCAAAGGCAGAGCCTCAGCAGAGCTCCTTTGGTGCCAGGACTTTAAAGGAACATCAAAGGCGGCACCAGCGAGAGCCAGCGAGGGAAAAACGACTGGGATGTGGGAGGGAGAGCGGGCAGAGGGGGACACACAGGACACGTTTGTCTTTAAAACAAATGTCTGGGGCTGTGCCAGCCGTGGGGAGCTCGTGCCTGGCTCCTGCTCCAGGGGGGCTGCTCAGGGCTCCTCGTCCCCCCCCCGGCACGGGGAGCACCACGTCTGCTCCTGGGAAGCCATTTCCGTCTCACCGGCGTTCTCCCAGCCGGAATTACAGGCAGGCAGCGGTATTTGCTTGCAGGAGATGAGCAAATAGCAGGCAGGCTTAGCTCCTGTAATCCTGCTGCTGCCACACCAGCCTCCTCCCCGCGCCCTCCCGCTGGCCTCGGCTCTGCGGGGACCTGCTCTGCTGCCCACGGGCTGCTGCTGATTTGGGGTGGGCCAGGAGGTGGGGGAGTGGCTGCTGGGCTCCTGCTCCCCTCTCCTTGCTCAGTTTTTGGGGCTCTGGCTGGTTTTCTGAGTGGCCTGCCGTGGGAGCTGCTCCCTGGGGCTCGGCTTTCCGCCGATCCCGGGTGTTGTGGATATTTATTGTCATGGAATCACGGGGCGGTTTCGGGTGGGAAGGGAGCTTAAAGACCACCTTGTTCCAACCCCCACCCCGTGCCGTGGGTGGGGATGGCACCCACCAGATCAGGTTGTTGGGAACGGCAGCAGCATCCTTGGCATGGGAATGGGGCATGGTGGGGCTTGCTGGGTCACCCAGGGGAGATGCAGCAGCTCAACCTGCAGCAGTGGCTGGGCTGGAGTCCCGGATTTGGGGCTGTTTCCCTGCAGCTGATCCTGCTGAAGGTGGCTTTGGGGTGTTTTTGCACTTCAAACCGGCCCCTCCGAGCCAGTTTCCCAAGAGACTCTGGCACTTGTTTCCCAGTGCCCTCCCTCCCTGTCCACAGCTGCTCCAGCAAATCCTGCCTCAGATTCCACAGAGCTGAGCCTTGTCACCTGCCACCGTGGAGTCCCCACCCCTGACGCTGCTGCCCCGTGTCCCTGCTGGTCTCCAGCCTGTACCAGGTCCCCTCCGTGGTGCTGCAGCCCTGGATCCCCTGCAAGGGCTTGTCCCTTGTCCCCCCATCCCCTCTCTGCTGCTTCCTCGCACTTGGCTTTGCTTCCCATCCGCCAGTGTCCCTGAAGGATGCGGTAATTTGCTTATTTTTGGAAGCTGCTGTCACACAAGGCAGCGGCGCCAGAGCAGGGACTGAGCACGGCCGGGAAGGGGATGGAGGGGGCGTCCAAGT